ACAAAGAAAGCAAAGAAGCAACCACGCCGGAAGAGGAGACGAGGTAAACGAGCGGGAATTTTAAACAGACTAAGGAATAGGAGGAAAAAAACTCCTCTCCCTTCAATCTTTCTGACTAATTTACGCTCACTGGCTAACAAGATGGATGAAATTCATCTCTTAAATAGATGGAATTCCTATTTTCATAATTCAGCTGTTCTTTGTTTTACTGAAACCTGGCTTAATCCACAAATTCATGGGGACAACACCATATATATCCCAGGATTTCAGACATTTAGATCAGACAGAATTGAAGAGACATCAGGTAAAACAAAGGGTGGAGGATTATGTTTATATATCAACAACAGCTGGTCTCAGGATATAACTATAATATATAAGTTTTGTGATGAAAACTTAGAGTCTTTACACATCAACTGCAAGCCATTTTACTCTCCACGTGAGTTCTCCTCATTTCTCCCAATAGCTATGTATGTTCCTCCACAAGCCTGTGTAAACAAGGCATTACGAACTCTTGCTGATCAAATTATGGAGGCTGAAGCCAAACACCCAGGTTCCCTTCCCATCATTTTAGGAGATTTCAATCAAGCAAATTTAAGGAAAGAGCTCCCAAAATATTTCCAGCATGTAAACTGTCCCACCAGAGGCAAAAATACTTTAAACCATTGCTACACAACAGTAAAAGATGCTTATAGGTCTTTACCACGAGCAGCTGTGGGACACTCTGACCACTGCATGATTCACCTTGTACCTGCCTACAGACAAAGACTTAAAACCATGAAACCAACAATTAAATCAGTGAGGACTTGGTCAGATGAGGCAAAGCTGAAACTCCAGGCCTGCCTTGATTGCACTGATTGGAATGTTTTCATCTGCAGACCTAGATGAGCTCACAAATACTGTAACATCATGTGTTAGCTTCTGCAAAGACTTATGTGTACCAACAAGGAACCTGCAAATGTATATAACAATGAAACCTTGGTTCACAGCTAAACTTAAGCAGCTATGTCATTCCAAAGAGGAAGCCTACAGAAAAGGTGACAGAATGCTATACAACCAGGCCAGAAACATATTAACAAGAGAGATCAGAGCAGCAAAAAGAAGCTACTCTGAAAAATTAAGGAATCAGTTCTCAACAAATGAACCAGCAAACATGTGGAAAACTCTTAAAAACATAACTGGCTTCAGCAAACCTTCTTCCCAGGCAGAAGGAAATCAACAACTAGTAGATGACCTGAATGTGTTTTACTGCAGGTTTGAAAAGAAACTACAGCCACCTACCTCCACAACCCACATCTCAAACACACCAACAGCCAAGCCTCCTACAACTGGCCCCAATCTCTGGTGATCACAGAAAAAGAAGTGCAAGATCTATTACACAGACAGAAGCCAGGAAAGCACCAGGGCCAGACAAGATAACTCCTTCTTGCTTAAAAGTCTGTGCTGACCAATTGGCCCCCATCTTCACCCGAATCTTCAATAGATCATTAGAGATGTGCTATGTTCCTTCCTGCTTCAAACGTTCTACCATCATCCCAGTGCCAAAGAAGCCCTCCATCAAGGAACTGAATGACTACAGACCAGTTGCTCTAACATCTGTAGTTTTGAAAATCTTTGAAAGGTTTGTGCTGTCCTACCTGAAAACCATCACAGATCCGTTGTTAGATCCCATGCAGTTTGCATACCAAGCAAATAGATCGACAGATGATGCTGTTAACATGGCTCTGCATTACATCCTACAACACCTTGAATCTCCAAATACCTACGCAAGGGTCCTCTTTGTAGACTTCAGTTCAGCATTCAATACCATCATTCCAGACACTCTTTTAAGTAAATTAAACCAATTAGCGGTACCTGAACACACTTGTAAGTGGATCATAAGCTTCCTAACAGACAGGAAGCAGCAGGTGAAGCTAGGCGGAATCACATCTGATACCTGTACAATCAGCACAGCTCCCCACCCCCAAGGCTGTGTGCTATCTCCACTTCTCTTCTCCCTATATACCAATGACTGCATCTCAAATGATCCATCTGTTAAAATACTGAAGTTTGCTGATGACACAACAGTGATTGGTCTCATTCGAGACAACGATAAATCTGCATACAGACAGGAGGTTATACAACTTGCCTCATGGTGTAACCGGAACAATCTTGAACTGAACACACTCAAAGCTGTAGAAATGGTGGTAGACTTTAGAAGAAACCCTCCCATACTACCACTGCTAATACAGTTCTACAGAGGAATTATTGAGTCTATCATCTGCACCTCTATAACTGTCTGGTTTGGTTCTGCAACCGAACAGGACAGACACAGACTTCAGAGGATAATTAGGACTGCAGAAAAACTATTACTACCCACCTGCCTTTGAGGACCTGTATACTACACGAGTCAAAAAGAGGGCCAATCAGAAGTGCAGGATTACGAGCCTGCTGTGGAAGTAAAACTGTTAGGATTCAAAACCAATGCATTTGCTTAGTTCATAACAGTTATGATTCTTGATTCTTAATGAATGTACCTTTTCTTTATGTATACTGAGAATATTTACATCAAGACAAATTCCTTGTGTGTCCAATCACAATTGGCCAATAAAGTATTCTATTCTGTTCTGTTCTGTTCTGTTCTGTTCTGTTCTATTCTATTCTATTATTTCCTGTATTCTTACTCATGTTTATACTTATATCTATTATCTTGTAAGCGATTGACAAATCAAATAAATAAATAAAAATTTGGAAAACAAAAATTTCAAACTTACTTCAGTCTGAGGGTAAATGTGTAGCCAGTGATATACAGTTACATCTAATGAATAGATTAAAATTGTCCTTGTTACAAAGCATATCTATTCCTCTGCATCTGTTCATAGAGAGCTGTCAAAACATCTGCCTGTTATATATGTCACATAAACAAAGGAAAAGATATACTTCCATTAAGATTAACTAGTTCTTTCTCTTCTCTGACAGGCCTATCAGAACCCTTGAGGCCTCATATGTCTCTCCTTAATGAAGTGACAAAAATATTTGCCTTTATAGGAAATTAAGGGGATTGCAACCATCTTTCCCTTCGGGTAAAAAGCATCAGGGCACACTCTGATACTGGCAGCACACAAGCTCGCTCTTGTGGTTCTTGAACAATTGAAACTTTAAAAAAAAAACTTTAAAAAAAACCATTCACTTCAGTTCAAAGTTCTTTGAATAAATAACAATGACATATGAATACAGTTGATAAAAAGAAGCAGTGCTACCTATGTTAAGAAGTTGAAATCTTGATATTCTAATCAAGTGCTAATTAGAGACAGTTCTATCAGTCTATTTCTGATCTATGTCACCTTTAAATGCATTTATGTGCATTCATTAAACTGTCCCCGTTCCTACTTGATTTCTAAATTTTTAGAAATATATACAGCCAAATATATGCTCTGGTTTAATGTGGATTTAAGCCAAAATCTCTTTTCCCACTACACAAACACACACACACACACACACACACACGTCCACAAACACACACTGATTTATTTTGTATTTGTTGTAAATATACAGTTGATGGGGCGTTTTCATGTTTTTAAACTGAAAACTTTAATATTTGAAAAAATATATATATGGGGGAATGCAAAGTAATTTAATTCCATTCTAGGAATTAAAGTTTCAAGGTGGTAGAAGAAATGTCCTTCTGGGTTCAGTTCCAAGTGGGGAGAAAGACACTGGAAACATGGAGGCTGTTTGGAAAGATGGTTTAATGTTGGACAGGACCATGTGGTTTGAGGTCTTGGGCAATTGAGCATATGGGGGAGGGGAGAGAGAGAGAGGGAGGGAGGGAGGGAGAGAGAGAGAGAGAGAGAGGGAGAGAGAGAGAGAGATTTAAACTCCCTCTTGGGCTTTGAACTTGCTTCCTGTTCCTGTGGCAAGGGCATGTATTCTGATTGGTTGTCAGACTCCCACGGGGCCATGCAGGGGTAACTTTATAGACTGTCTTGAGTCCAAGGCTTGGTTGAACCTTGCTGGGTGATGCAATCTTCCCAGGTGCCATGTGGTGAGATGGGTAGAGGGCTAGTCCTATTATGTCCTCAGGGTGAAGGTCTTTTGTTTTGTAGATAAGCTGGCCCAGCCTTTTATCTTGTAGATAGGTGACATCAAAATATCTGCGAGGGGAGGTCAGGGAGCTGAGGCTTTGAGTTTGTGTCTTTAGAAACATGTTTCTCCTTTAGGGAAAATATAATATTCTGCCTTTAATATTTCCTGGAATATTTCATTCGTCTAGGAGAAGATTGGATGCTAACTTTCTACAAAGGTCAATCTTTATTTTTAGAAAAGATTATGGTAATTCTTTAAATATTCTTGGTTTCTAGCTTGTGTTTTACAACTGCCTTCTAACTGAACAGGTAATACAGAACTAGTCAAATCTTGATTAAAGTCTCTATGTCAGTCATCCGGCATAGTAACAGTTATACAGTCTGGCAAAATCATGATCTATGTCTTAAATAAACTATTAAATATTGCTTAACCTTTTCATTTCACTAGTGGCACTCTAAAATTTAATTTTGGATGAACTTTTCCATGGATGTCTATCAATATGGAAGAAGTGTTTTTCACTGATAACGTATATTCTTTAGTAATATTTTAGGCAATTCTGTGAGCTCCTATAGTTCTATAAATTCCCCTTTTTGAATTCCCCATTTTGGATGATCTAATTCCTTTTGTAAATCTTGATGATGCTAAAAATGTATGGCACAACAAAATGTTTGTATTTCAGAATTTGTGCTGTCATTGATATTCTACACAATACCTTTCAGTTTACTTTATTTAATATGGATATATTATATTTATGAATGAAAATGAATATATTAATGGGTCTAAACAGAGAGCAAACCTCAGTCCCTTCTAGCACTGAGGATCTTACTTAGTTGGGTAATGAAATGTCTCTGGGGGGAAAGAACAACCAAGCTCAGAGAGTACCAAGGTCCCCACATAGATTTTTTTTTCTCATGTCACCTCTCATTTGTACCCATCAGGCCCATGATAAAGATACCGGCAACTATAGTGCCATGCAGTACAGACTCATCATCCCTCCAATCAAGGATGGCAAGGAAGGCTTTGTGATTGAACCATATACAGGACTGATCAAAACAGCAATGCTCTTCAAAAACATGCGACGATCTTATTTCAAGTTTCAGGCCATCGCAACGGACAATTATGGAAAAGGGTTGAGCAACAAATCAGATGTACTTGTAAGTATGATTGACTAGCTCCTTTCCGAAGATCATTCTTGTATGTTTTATGTAGAATGATTCACTTGTTTTGGCAGGCATTTGTCTTGGTAATTTTTGATCTGACTGCATTATACTGAGCTGCTGTTGCAGTTAATGTATTTATTTATTTATTTATTTAGAAAATGTATATAGCCGCTTGCTTGTTCGCACTAATGGTGGATTCCAAGCGATAAAAACACAATACAGAAAAATAAATAAAAACAATGCCTTCCTCCCAGCATTGTGGTCATTTTGATGGGCCCCATCCCACTCTGGGTTCCCCTGGTTTGCTAGCAAGACCAAATCTTCAGGACCTTATGAAAGAGTGTCAAAGTAGGGGCCAGTCTAATTTCTGAAGGGATGATATTCCAAAGGGAGGTAGCCACCAAGGAGAAGGCCCTTCTTCTCGGTCCTACCAGTTATAACTCCTTAAAGGATGGGACTCGCAACATTCCTTGCCCTCCCCTCATCTCCGATGGGTTGTGTAGATGTGACTGGCAAGAGACAGCCCCTCAGATAACCTGGTCCCAAGTGATGAAGGGCTTTAAAGCAGCACCTTGACAATGAGTTAGCTGCAAGCCTTTTGTTGCTGATGCTTGCTATGGCAAAAACAAGTCTTATCTACCACTTGAGGATGCTGATATGTATTTGACTTATAATAAAAATATTTCTTTACAAGCTTCTAATATTTTATTTTATCTGGAACTAGCTCGATACCCATGCTTCGCTAGGAAACTATGAGACCAGGCTTAATTTTTGGGGAGGAAAACAAGGGGGGGACTCTGCCTCTACCTATCAGCATCCTTCAGTATTTATCTGGCTAGTGTCCTGTCAGTGTGTGAGAGAGTGGGGGGCTGTTTGGAAACTGAAACAGTATTTGCTGTGTGAGCAAGAAGACAGCAAGGAGCCTGGGCGTGGCTTAGGTCAACTATTCTTTACTAAAGCTGCTTGGTGCTGTAAAACTGAATCTGAAACTCCTCTCCTCTGCTTGTGTTTTGCATTTGGAAGAGATTTCTTTTCAGGTGGGGAGAGGGAGTAAAACTCCTTAGCATCAGAGCGTGTTAATAATAATATAGGAAATACTAATGCTCTGATGGTCATTTTGAAAAATCCTTTCTTAGTGAGCACCTAGAAGCCAAGAGGAACATGTGTGCCAAATTTCAAATTTGTAGGCTTTACGGTTCTGGAGATTTCATGATGATGCATGAGTGGTATTTCGCTTTTATATATATAGATTGTGTGACTGGGTTTTTTAAAAATTTTCCTTCTTTTGTTTTTCTGTATATTTCTTTCTCCAATAATTTATTTTTTACGTCTAGAGAATTGGCTTCATTTATCTCGAGAGTTAGCTTCATTTATTAAATAAAATTATTTCTTGTTAAACATTCATTACATTTCCTTTGAAATCATGCATATGTGTAATTGTCCCCATTGTGCTTCAGGACAGGGCAAAGTTAACATTGGGCATGATGTCTAATGGACCTTTTTAATTTTTACTGGGATTGGTTGAAGAGAGAAATCATGGGTATTTTATAACTTTCTCAGAAAGGAAGGAAGCACTGTGTATTGTTGTGTGGGTGTGCGTGAATATTTATTTTATTTTATTTATTTATTTTATTTTGTCAAGTGATTATAAGATAACGGGTATAAGTATAAGCATGGTTATGAATACATGAAATGGATACATATAAAAAAAAGAAACAATAGGACAGGGACGGTAGGCACGTTGGTGCGCTTATGCACGCCCCCTACAGACCTCTTAGGAAAGGGGTGAGGTCAATAAGTAGACAGTCTAAGGTTAAAGTTTTAGGGAAGAAACCACAGAGTCAGGTAGAGTATTCCAGACATCAACCACTCTGTTGCTGAAGTCGTATTTCCTGCAATCAAGTTTGGAGCGGTTTACCTTGAGCTTGTATCTATTGTGTGCTCTTGTATTGTTATGGTTGAAGCTGAAGTATTCATTGACAGGTAGGACGTTGCAATATATAATTTTATGTACTATACTTAGATTGGACCCAAGGCGGCATAATTCAAGGTTTTCTAGGTCTAGAATTTCAAGTCTGGTGGCATAAGGTATTCTGCAACGAATAGAAGAGTTCTTGTGAAATATTTCTGGACTTTCTCAACTGAGTTAATATCAGATCCGTAATGTGGGTTCCAGACTGATGAGCTGTATTCAAGTATTGGTCTAGCAAATATTTTGTATGCTCTAGTTAGCAGTGTGATATTACCGGAGAAAAAGCTACACTGGATTAGGTTAACAACTCTTAATGCACATTTAATGCATGCACATTTGTGCTTGTAGATTTGGTTTCACTTATTTTAAGAAAAGGAACTTAATTCATTGAAAGGGAACTTGTTTAGAATCAATGTATGCATTGAAAAGTCTTCTGTCACAAATCCTAGACAAATGTTTATCTGAATATACAGGACTGAACTGGATAGCTTGAGATGCTATAGAAGAGGGAAGCTATGTCCCCTTTATGGATCAACTCCCAGAATTATGGGGTTGAAGTCCGCAAGTCATAATTTACCACTCCTGCTATAGAGTGGGGCGGGGAATTGCAGATCACTAAAAAGTTAAGGGCATTTTCGAATTGTTTTCAAATACTTCCATCCATCCATACACAAACACACACAAATATAGTTATGCATGTTCTTCTAGATAGTCACTTACTTTTAGCTTACATCCCTGGGGTTTGCAGAAAAAGGCAGATGTATGTATAGAACTAGAAAACATTTTCAGCTGGAAATATTATGTAGCCTAAATTATCCATTTGTGACACAATTAAAGTTGAAATCAATTTTCATTACTTATAACCATAAGTAATGGTTAATTTCATTACTTATAACTTATAACAGTGCTTTACTTTTAGTTCAATAACATTACCAAAAGTAGTTTTGTTGAATTTCAAAAAGAAATTGTACCCTGATTTCTTGTGCTGTCTCAAATATTTTGTCATTCAAAATCTCTCTTTAGAAAGCAAAGCAGGCTGGTGTTTCCTTTGGGTGGATGGATGGATGGATGGATGGGATGGATGAGAGGGAAAGAGGGAGAGATTGAATGTTGCCCTAAATGCCTCTAGAATAGAGAACAGACAAAATAGATTCTGTCTTTGGATAATACTCCAGTTTTAACAGGAGTCATTTTGGATTCTTCAGAGATTTTCAGATCACTGTATATTTTGGGATACTGTGAAGTCAGGCAGGTTTAGTTGTAGGGCATCACCAATTAATCATCGCATGCCTTTTTGGAGCGGTAACTGGGCATAGGGAATTGACAGCCAGAATCTTGCTCTTCATTTTTCTTTGTCCTTGTTTAGAAGCTTTGCTCAGTCTTGTCCAAAGCAATAACCTCTTCCTTACCTGCACAATATAATAAGGAGAATCATTCTACTCTTTCAATGTCTGCCCTGATAGCATAGCAATAGGTTGGCCTTACCGTATTTTGTATCCTCTATTTGGCATCTATTCTGAGAAGAGACGTTAGTGTGATAGTAATGCAGGTGGGTGCAAGGCAAGCCAGATATACCTTGTTGTGTCCTGTTCTCACTCTGGTCCATTTCCCCAGTGGGAACAGAGAAGCGCTCTGATTGGTTAAAGGCTCTGACAGCTGAGTATAAAAGGGCTGTCAGAGGGGTCGATCAGCTGCTATTATTGGGAGCCAAGCAGCCGTGGTTAGCAAGCTCTGTTAGCACAATAAATGGTGAACATTTATTGCCGAGCGGACCCTCAGTCTGTTTGCCGCTGTTCTTGGTACTGAACGTACCTTGTGATATTTCTCCCACTACAAGCCAATGAAATGGTTTTACCTCCACAGTGACATTAAGTCCCTTGCAGCAAAACTGAATTAGTTCTGCTTTGTGCCATGATTACAAGACTTGGTAGCTGAGGAAGGGGCAATTTTACTTTAAAAAAAAAAAAAAGCTTTATTAGTAACATTTTGAAATACAAATAAAGTAGAGAAAAAAATCCCAAGATGATAGTTACCCACACACACAAAAAAAATTGTCTGCCACATTTGAATTTTTTTAAGTCAATTGCTCTATCTCTGCTTGGAAGAGTCCCAGGATTTTCCCCTCAAGGTCTTGTGTGCATGTGTTTATTTAACTAAAAGACTTATATGGTGAAATGCTGAAACTTTTCATAGCCTAGCACCGTGATGGCGAACCTATGGCACATGTGGCACACAGAGCCATTTGTGCTAGCATGTGAGCCGCAGGCAAATGTACCTCACTATGCATGCGCGTGCCTCACAGCTGATTTTTGGCTGGTTTGAGGCCTTTTTCGACCTCCCAGAGATGGGATTGTGAGCAAATGCGCAGGGAGCATTGGGGGGGGAGCACATTGCCTTCTGGGTGCTGGCACGTGAGCTCGCACAATTTTTGACACAGGCTAACCAAAAAGGTTAGCCACCACTGGCCTAGCAGAATATCAAATTCCCACATCCCAATGATTAAATAGTTTTAAAAGCCATTAAGAAGGCAAGCTACTTATGCAATTCAAGTACTCAGAAAGTGAAATGAAATTTGACCTTCTTAAGAGACTTAGTTTGGTCAAGTGTACATACATCAGGAAATGTGTTTTATAATTTGCATGCATATAAACCGTTTGCTTTAGCTGTACACTGATATTGGTTGGTACTATAATAGAATTGTATGCTGGCTTACCAATGGTTTAGCTTAAGTTAATTCACTAATGTGTGAGCTGTAGAGGTCAATGTATCATTTTCATTCTTTGTCAGCAATCCAAATACTTCTGTTTCCTACCTAGATAAGTTGAAAAAAGAATACTCTTACATGGCCAAGAAAATTATGAATTATTTCTTTTAGCAGCCTCGGTTGCATATAGATTATGCTATTCATTCAAAAAATTCCTGACAACACTCCATTCTTGCAACCAAGATTAAACTGCATTTGAGGTGAAGGGCAAGTAGAAGCACAGCTTGATCAGCTCTTTCAATGTTCAAGGGGATTAATTCTCTTAGTGCTTGCCCTCCTTGTGTACTCTATCTACAGGTAGTCCTTGATCTATGCCCACAATTGAGCCCAACATTTTTGTTGTTTAGTGAGACAGTTGTTAAGTGAATTTTGGTCCATTTTACACTTTTTCTTGCCACCGTTAGGTGAATCACTGCAGTTGTTAAGTGAGTTTTAAGTGAATCTGTTCTCTAAAGGTGGTCACGTGATTCCAGGACACTGCAACCGTCATAAGGATGAGTCAGTCACCACGTATCTGAATTTTGAATCACATTATTATGGGGATGCTGGCAAGGTTGTAAGTGTGAAAAATGGTCATAAAGCACTTTACTTAGTGCTGTTGTAACTTCAAACAGTCACTAAACAAATTGTTCTAAGTTGAGGACTACCTGTACAGAAGTCCATATGATTTGAGATTTTCCAGCTCTGTTTCTCTTCCTATTATAGATAGACGGATAGAGACCGATAGGAAATCAGTGGTGGTATTCTACTGGTTCGGTCTGGTTCTGCCGAGCCGGTAGCAGCAATGAGCAGCGGAGACCAAACTGGTTCTCTCCGCCACTCTGCTGTTGGGCCCGCCCACCTGTAAGGGCTCCCATACTCACTTTATCCTCTGCTTTTGAAGTGTAGCTGCTTTGCGTGGCACAGCAGAGTGCCACGCGGCAGCTACTGAAGGGACCAGGAGAGTGCAGGCTTGCAGGAAGCGAGTTGGAATGCCTCTGCGCCTGCGCAAAGTGCACATTTGGCATGCGTGTGCACGCAAAGTGTGTCCACACGCGCAAAGCGCACCCACCAAGCCACGCCCACCAAACTGGTGTTAAAGTTTTTGAATTCCACCACTGTAGGAAATGGTCTGTTTTAAATATGGATAATGTCACTGAGGATCAATTTGGTGTCACAAATCCTATACCCAGTGTACAATTTGGAGAGTGAATTTTGAGATAAAAAGATACAAAACAGCAGACAGATATTGTATAGTTAAAATACAAAAGGCAATACACAAGTGATGGTGTCTTGTATATCATTTAATAATAAAATGTGGCTTGTTTAAATGAAAGCATGTCTTTTTTAAAAAAAAAATGGCATTGCACCCATATTTTGTGCTTTTTAAATCCCACCAGGTTTAAGGAGAGGAAATTGTCATGTTATTTTATTATAATAAGTTTCTCCATTCAAGCTCCAAACTGCTGGGAATCCAAGGAAATTCTTAAATGAGATGCACTTTCTATTTCACGTATATTACATGCTTTGCAGACTCCTTTATATTTTTGTTTTTCTGTTTCAGGTCTCAGTAGTCAACCAGCTGGATATGCAAGTCATTGTGTCAAATGTTCCTCCTACTCTTGTAGAACAAAGCAAAGATCAACTTATAGGGTAATGAATATCTTCATTCCGTAACCACCAAAAAGTCACTTATGATTAAAAATGTACTGATTCAAAAACATACAATTTTTGTAATTTACTGATTTGCATGGCTTCCTAACTTAAAAATATAATCTTGAGCACCTCTTAACAACAATGTAACCCATAAATATAAAAAGCATAAAGCATAAAACCAAAACAGAACATGGTGCCTTAATCAACCCCACAACCAACTTCAGACATCTTCATTCTACCCATGTTAAAAAGCCATGTCTTGATAGTTTTCTGAAAGGTTAAAAAGGTGGAAACCTGCCAAGAAGTCTGTGTGGAGGGTGTTTTATAACAGGGTTCCCCTAACCTGTGGGCCTCTGAGTTGTTTGCAACTGGGCTGTGGAAATGGCGGGGGAGTGCACACGCAAGCACACATATCCCCACTTGAACGACCAGCAGGCGAGCATTTGTATGCATGTTCCATTCATGTGAGCAGTTGGCGCACATGAATACCACTTGTGCAAATGGAACTGCATGCACATACTTGCCAGCCCTTCACAAGGAACCATCCCCATTCCACACACGCCTCTGCCAGTCCTCAAAGCCAGAAAAGTTGGGGAATTCTATTCCATAGGATAGCCACAGAAAAGGTGCACTTCCAAGGTCCCACTAGATGAAAAGATTGCAGTCTGCCTACTCCAAGGGTCTTCAGACTTGTCAAGTTTAAGACTTGTGGACTTCAACTCCCAGAATTTCTGAGCTAACATGATTGGAGGAGGAATTTCTGGGAGTTGAAGTCCACAAGTCTTAAACTTGACAAGTTTGAAGAGCCCTGGCCTACTCTATTCAATCTGGTAGGGTACGCAGATACTCTCAGGGATTGGCGTTTCCATATACAACTTGGTCCTATGCCAATAGGGTTCTAAATGTGGTAATAGTACATTAAATTGCACCACAAAGGAAACCGAGAGTTAGTACATCTCGTGTAACAGCTTGACACCCTTACAGACAACCAATATTGTATTTATGGATTTATGGATTTGTAGTTCCTGACTGATCTTCAAGGGCACCCCATGTAAAACACATTGCAGATATCTAAAGGGGAAGTGAGACTGTAACATCAGTGGTAAATCATAAAACCATATTTTTTTAAAAACCTAGAGATTAGTCAAACTAAATAAGTCCCTAAACAACTCCACTAAATATGGTTCAGCCAATCCTACTAAGCTTTGGTACAAGGAATCTGTGCAGTCCCTTTTTTTTTTTTTTTTAACTTGGCTCAAGAAACATTATGATTTGATGAGTCAAAACTTAGATCCTTTTCATGTATTCTGTGAATCCATCTCCAAAGCCATGTGACTAGAATCATCTGTGTTGTGTCCCTGTCTACTGATTGATCAACCCAATTTAGAGTATATATAAAAGTATAAATTAACCGAAGTATTTGCTGAAGGGGCTTCTCTGAGCTTAATTAGCTTTGCACAGCTTTCTTTTGAATTAGTATGCAGAGCTGGAAAGGAATCAAAGAATGTAGCAACTGCAGCAGGGAAACTCAGGCTGGCCATTGCAAGATAAATCCCACTTTCCTTTTTTCAAAATATTAAAAAAAACTCTACTATAGTTGACTTTTTAGTAAAACAAAACAAAAACCTGGCCCTATTAGAAACTATGTTTTCCCCCTATTTTTTATTTTAAAAAGACATGGGGACCTCCAGCAGTACAATTAAATTATTAAAATGTATTAATCATTTGCAACATTAATGAAAGCTTGCCATCCTGTGCATGATACTAACTTTTAAGGTAAAAAATACTTGGTTTTCAGAAAAGTAATAATAATTACTTCACAGTTATAAAAAAAATAGTTTGTGAGATTGAGGATCTTATTAGATTTCCCTTTTTAAAGTATGATTATAATAGAAGCCTTAACCATGAAAGACAGTTGGGTGACCATGGGCCAGTTACACAATCTCACAGAATTGTGGGGAAAATAGGAGGAGGAATATGTTGGATATGTTTGCCGCCTTGAGTTGTTTGTAAAAATAGTAGGTAAATTAAGTAAGTAAGTAAGCAAATAAGTAAGCAAGTAAGTAAGTAAGTAAGTAAGCAAATAAGTAAGCAAGTAAGTAAATGAATAAATAAATAATTGTTAAAAAGTATTCATTTATTAAATTTATATGTTGCCCAACTCACTGTCTAATAAAATAAAAATGTTCATATTCAGTACTGAGCAAAGCTACGTGGATCATAGCATACATCACAGGTGTCAACACCATGCCATCACACGACGTATCACAACGTTTTTCCCATTCTAGGAGCTAGGATGGGTGTGGCCTACATGTGAGGCATCCGGCCCAGGGGCCACCACCTTGGCACCCCTGGCATACATCATAACTCTTAAGTAAAGAACTCAGAAAATAGTTTTGGGCTGCTGTTGCTCATACTAAGTGAGAAAGAACTGATCTGGTCCTGTGGAAGATGAGTAATCACTAGGACTCCGTCTAAAACAGGGTTTCACAGTGTCAATCTAAACCTCCAAGAGTCGATAAGTTTATCCAAGATATCGATCTTGTTGTTGTTCATAGTACTGTTAGCAAAAGTAATACAGATAGTCCTTCACAATTGGGACCAGAAATTCCATTGCTAAGTCAGGTGGTTGTTAAGGAAGGGGTTGTCACACCCCATAAATACTAGTGATATTTATTTAAATCGCTGTTGCTGTGCCACATAGACTACTTTTAAAGAGTCAAAAGCATGAGACAATATTTATGGAAGTTTATTTATGTTGATAGAGGAAATTGGCTGGATCTTCAATAATTATCAGCAATGTTTTCCAGGTTGCTAACATACACTGGCATTTTTTAAACAATCTGTTAACAACTTTTTCCATTTCTGAAAATACCTGTGGCTTAACTGCCAGTCTTACTTATTCCGTCCTGGTATGCCTGACAATCCGGCACTCCAATTTTTCTCAGAGGCATAAATCTTATGCATGTGAGATGTATGGCCACTTCTGTGTTATATACTTAATTCATTTCACTGTGAGTGTAGTTTGTGGAATGTAATAGCTTCGGTAAAAAAGATAAAAACCTATTCCTTTATCATGCCTACCAGTTCCCTCTGTAAAATATCTTTGCAATTTCCCTTCAAACCATTTAAAATTCAAGTCCTAATATAACCCTAAGAGGTAGAATTAATTACCCCACACTTGAAACTAGTTTTTCTGGATGACTTTTCTTCCTTCCCTTTCCTTCTTTCCTTCCTTCCTTCCTTCTTTCTTTCTTTCTTTCTTTCTTTCTTTCTTTCTTTCTTTCTTTCTTTCTTTCTTTCTTTCTTTCCTTCCTTCCTTCCTTCTTTCTTTCTTTCTTTCTTTCTTTCTTTCTTTCTTTCTTTCTTTCTTTCTTTCTTTCTTTCTTTCCTTCCTTCCTTCCTTCCTTCCTTCCTTCCTTCCTTCCTTCCTTCCTTGTTGTTAAACAATTTTCTTTACAATATTTTAAGATTTTAACGTTTTTTGTCTAACTGTAAATAAGTCAAAGAATAGAGCTATTACCAAGAGTTTTCCATTATCAGGATTTTGGAACGCTATGTTCAAGACCAGATTCCTGGTGCCAAAGTGGTGGTGGAATCCATTGGTGCTCGCAGATATGGTGATGGATATTCAGAAGAAGATTATTCCAAATCTGACCTCATGATCTATGCAATCGATCCTCAGACAAACCGTGCTATAATGAGGAATGAACTTTTCAAGTAAGTAGTTAAGTGTATTGCAGCAGTGAATATCAGTTGAGGAAATCAACCTTTTATCAAGGCATTGACTGAATTGGCTTCAAAATTAGCAACTTTTTGTTCTTTTACATGCCTGATGTTTAAAGGTGCAGGTAATATCATGCAGGAGCAATATGTAAACATTGAGTGGCACACAACTGCAACTATTTAAGAGATCCCCTTTGGACCTGAAAATAGCATTGTTATGATTTAGTGCTTTGTGTTCTGATGAAAACAGAAACTCCGATAGGGTTAATCCGAGAAATAATTTTGTTCTGTCGGTGTTATCTTACTGCCTTTAGGCAAACATGTGATCACATATGCTCAATTTCACACAAAAAATATTGTGAAAAGCAGCAGTTGAAACCCTCCCCCCATTTATGACACATTTGCAGTAATGTTTTTGTGTTGTGTTATTCATAAGATTCTTCTTCTTCACTGTAGCTTCTATAATTCAAATGTACAGGGTTTTGTACCTCCACAGTACAAAGGTCTCAGAAGTTCAGAGTTTTTTGGAAAAGTCTTGGTTTACTGTAAATCACATATAAGACTGTAACTCAAGAGATCAGTGGTCCCAAATCTTCTATCCAGAGATTTAACCAATGAGGTGACTTTCAACAGTTGCTATTTCCATCATTAGCATCATAATAGGAGAGGCCAAGACAGTAGAGCAGAAGAAGAAATGCTAACACTATTGTGGATTAAGGTTCCTGAGCTAGGACTGAAAGGTAGAATTGATGGCATAGCCTTTTTTTTTCTCCCTGGGTTTGATAGTTGCTTATTTTTATAGTGCATTCTGAAACCTGAAAATTAGGACCAACCTGATTCCTCAAAATTAAAAATTTATTATTGTATAACGTCAAAGAATTACTGGTACCAATTGTCGATTTGGGTCCAAGACCGCCAAAAGTACAGGCAGTTTATCTCAGTAGGAGGCAGGGGGAAAGTGTAGAGCACCCCTGCCTCCTACTGTCAAGCTCACAGGCCACGGGTCAGATGTGTCACACACTGGCCACGTCTATGCCCGGTTTAGCAAAGGTGGGGGAAGTCACGATACATAACATGACACCGCCATGACAACATGAGTTTGATGATGTAAAGTTACTAGATTTGTCTGGGATTGGCATACCAACTCAGAAGCCTCCACAGATGTTGATGTAGTCTCCAATCTTGAGGAACTTTGTTTATGTTTTATTTTCCCTACACTAAGGAGAATAGTGCCAGAAGCAAATGTGATAGTTTGCTAGCCATATGCTTAAGAAACAAATGTTTCTCAGCTAACAAACTATGATTTATTTACAGTATTTTGTTTATTTAGAGTTTCGTATCTTATGTGGTTAAATTAATAGTGACATACAAAAATATGTTGATGTTGAGAAGAAAATTGGCATATTTTCAGCTGATGGATGGAGAGAGAGGTTACGAATAGCTATTGTATTAACCATAAAATAAAAAAGAACTGTCTATATAATCTGCAAATATATAAACTGACAGTGACAAATGTTTGAATATAGAACTAAAAAAAAGAAAACATTTGCAGGTTTTTTTGTTGGTGATAAATATTTGCAACATTGGTTTACTCTCCTTCCATGCCCAATTTTGAAATAAATATATGGTGGACTGCATTTTAACTACATTTTTAAAATGTAGTATAAATTCTCATGTATGTCATCCAGCACAAGAGTGGAGTTTCATCTCAGTTTTTATACTGGTGGCTTGCCCTAATATTTGGTTTCACTTAACATACATATAAAAGAAGTAAAATCAAGGTTGAAGGCACTCTAGTCTTTCATGTTGAAGAGAACATTAGAATTTATACCATTCTAGGCCATCTTCTGTTGAAATAGCACAAGTAGAAAAAATGGCATATTTATGCACAAAAACATTTAAAAATTGTTCCATCATTCCAAAGACCCTGCTTACACTATTTCCTAGAAAGCAAGTGGGACAATATTACAGTAATATTGGCAGAAGGATTAAAAGTTTGAAGTTCAGACTTATATGCACTTTATTATAAATTTTGGAGTAGAGGACCTCTAGCATCTGGAAAAAAAATAATCAAATCTGATTTTAAGAAGTCAAAAATAGATAAATAGATTGATATGATGGTTTTTTTTGTGGAATGAAATATTTTTGTTACAGTGGTATACTTCAAACTATGACATTATTTAAATAAATAAGAATTCATGGGACTGACAGCCAAATAGCAAAAATAAACTATTTATTTGTTGTGGTTACAATCTGTTTCTCCAGTCTAATAATAACATAAGACAATAGCTGCCTTTAGTCTCATTGTCTCAAAAAAGAGTGAGGCAAATAAATAAATAAATAAAAGGCTGAGCAGAAAATGGATAATTAAAGTAGTGAGGAACTAATTTTTATAACAATGAACCTGAGGGCCATATTCATTTAACACTTCTTTAATGGATATTTTTGAGATACGGTATGTTAGAAAATAGACTGAATTTTCTCCTCTGTACTGGACTAAAATATAGAAAATAGAATGGAATGGAATGAAATAGAATAGAATATTCAATATTCAAAATGATATTTGAATAGTCAATATCCATATATCAATTTGCATATTCAAATATCATTTTGAATATGGAAGTGGTGCGATGGCCTAGAGGTGGAGCTCTTGCCTCACAAGCAGGAGGCTGTGAATTCAATCCTAGGTAGAGGCAGATATTTCTCTCTCTGATCACAATGAGAATATATTTGCTGAAACAAAACTCTGCATTGGTGACAGGAAGGGCATCCAACCATTAAAACACTCCGCTAGCTCCATTCAGTTGCCCAGACTCCACCCCACAAGGGATTATGGAGTCGTTAAAAGTTGATGATGGTTTTGAATATTCAAATATCAATTTGAATTACTGAATCTTTATTTAATCTATATTCTTGGTACTAAAGAAGATGAAAATATGAAAAATGAAGAAAAGACTTTTTTTAAAAAAAAATGAGTGCCTACTAATTAATACAGGCTTAAAGGCAACCTAATTACATATCTCTTTACCTTGCACAACCAGCTTTATTTTTTCCTTTTCCAACGTTTTCAAAAATGTAGAACATCAAAAGACTAGGGAATACTTTCTTGGCCTTGGGGCAGAGGTGAAGAAATGTCAGTTTAGCGAAATGAAGAGAAAGTTTTAGTCTGAAACATTAGCATATTTTAGGCTTGGCAGGGAATCTCCAGTGGTTTGGTTCTTATAAATTTAGATGTATTTCCAGAATTCAAAAGTTAACTCCAGCCTAGGACTTCCGGTTTGAAGGGCTTCGGTGACAGACAGAAATCCGCGATCGTGCATGGTTTCTGTCTGGGCTCGCTGCTGGAGCGCCCCGAGCCGGCTGGTTTCGGGGCTAAGCCACCCCGTAGAGGTGGTGAAGAGGGGGGAGACCGCCAGCAGGGTCGAGGAGAGTCGCATCTCTCCTCCTCAGCTGGCCATTACTCCCTTTCCCGAAGGCAGTTGCAGTGGTGGTCAGAAATGGCCACCACAAAGAAGAACTTGACCAGAAAAGAATGTGCAGGAGGAAGATAAGAAGTGAAAGTTTTGGCTGACCGGGTTAAATTGTAAAAGCAACAACCAAGGTACCCTGGAATTTAAACTTACAAAAAATAACATTGCTCCCAAAGAAGAGTCGGAAGCAGCAAAGGAAAGTGAAAAGGGAAAGGTTTGGCTTTTTTTTCTCTTCTCTCTCCTTCCCTATACTGACAACTAAGAGACTTAAATAAGAAATCGGAAAAATCCACTTTGACATCAATAGGCAATTAAGCTGAAAATAAAACAAAATGCCAAAGGGATAATAAAGATTTCTGGACATTAAAAACTTTCTTTTTCATAAGCAGGAAGGGAGAGAAAAAGAATAAGGGCAGGATCTGGAAGAGGGAGGAGACTGCCTGGAATTAAAAAGAATCTAAAGTAAAACTTCAACAAGACTTCTAAAAGATACATTTTAACTGAAACTTTGCAACTAAATAGTAACCCCAGGAAGAGAAAGTGAAAAAAAAAGAGCAAAAAAGAAACAGCTTAAGTGTATTTGGATTATTTGGTGATCTTTGGATTTTTGGTTATTATATTTGAATGACTAAATCAATCGGATGGTTGTTTAAAAATTTATACAATGGCACCACTGCTGGATGAATTGAAAATGGAACTTAAAAAGTACAAAGAAGACGCACAAGAAGGGAAGGGTTCTTTTGGCTTCGTCTTTCAATTCTTAGAAATGGAGATTTGGAACTATGAGAAACAACAAGAAAAGACTGCAAAACAAGAAGACTGGGACAAAGAAGAAGCCATCTTTAATGAACAAGTAATTCTATGTGGGGAAGAAAAAGGAAAGGGGGGAAAGAGAATGGAGAATTTAAGACTTAAAAAAACAACCAAAGAAAAGAAAAATAATTCGAAAAATAAGTATAATACTGGAAAGCAACAGAACAGGGGAATACAGAAGAGAGAAATAGAGGTAGAGAGACAAGGAGGTAAAAAGGGGAGAGAGAAGAAGAGAGGGAAGAAGGAAAGGAAAAGAAGTTACAAAGGACCGGAGCAAGATATAGAGAAACAGGACCTATTTAAAGATAATGGGTGAAAATCTAACTGAAAAAGGGACTCTGTAAAGGTACATAAGATTGTATTGTTATATTAGTAATAGAAATAACTTTAGAAAATTGGAAACAACATGATTAAAATGAGGGATAAAATAGTATAATTTAGTGAAATGTTTGTGAATACAATAAATGAAATAAAATAAATGAGAAAATTGAATTAGGAAGGAATGGGAACATTTTAATTAGTTAATGTTTTATAAAATATAAGTGAAGAGGGGGGGAATTAACTGTGGAAAGCTTATAATTGTTCCCATAGAAGTATGATATTTAATTGAAAAGTAATGTTAAAGATGTTAAGACTTTAATGAATATTAATATTAATGATAGAATTGAATTGGAATGGAATGTTGTTTTAATTATATACATTTATATATTT